TTGTTAATTGCTATGATGTAACTGAAATATAATACTTTGCAGGATAATGCAGAGTAGCTTGCTGCTAAGCTTTGTACAGCATTACATAACTTTCTCTATACTATGTATATTCTCCATATATACGAGGAAGTAAAAAATAACCCAGCGTTGCCAGTATATTTATTTATTATCTGGTGAATGAAACAGGAAAGAATCCTTTCTGGAGTATGAAATGGAAATAATTTAGTTACATCTTCACTCCAATTCGCCCTGCTCCCTGCAATATTCGCCATACTCTGTCTTCCTTGCTCCACTCCTTTTTAACTCACCTGTTCGAATTAATCCACAGAGACTCATCCTCAAGAGGGGGAATCTTCCTGCATGTGTCGTATCTTTCAGTGGTTCAATGTTATTCGTTCAGTGTTTTCTTAATAATGACCTACCTTCAGTTGGGAACCACCATCCTAGAGGTTGTAGACCCAATTTAAGGATTGACCTGCCCTCAAACTTTTAAATGAGCTCATAAGTAATAAGCTCATAAGCTCTAGGTATTGTTTGGGTTTCTCAACCAGTACTAAATTTTTGCACTAAATTCTTTGTGTATTAAGATTTTTCAGTTTTGTTTCCGATGAGCAGAATTTTACATTCAAAAACAAACTGTCAATTAATATTTATTGAATAAACCATTTTTGCAGATAGAAGTATATTAAATAATTTTGAAGAAGTAGAACAGCTGATTCAAGAGGAAGGGGAAGATGTCACAATGGCTTTGCGCTTGCAAAACCAGTGGACTACACTCCGAGCACTTACTGACATAACAGAACAAGTTCCCCAAAATAAATTTCAAATTCGCCAGGATTCACGGTATCAGGTAAGAAAGTAATTTACAATATTCTCATAATGGAATATGAAGCTTAAAACATTCGTGATCAATTCATTCAAAACAATTTCTTCTATATAGTAGAATGGTATAAAAACTAGGAAAGTGCATGGTGGACGGCTCCAGGTACCCGTTTTTTTTATTTTGAAAGAGCATATGTTTGTTTTCTCAGTGATGGTCACCAGTCTGTTTTCCAATTAGTAGTGTTATGTAATAATATTGGAGTTACACATTCCTGATTATTGGGGCAATTTACCTCAATACATTTTTCTGCTCTAAAAAACTGATGGTGCTACAAAATAGCAGGCTTTCTCATACTAGTTAGTTCTTCTTTCTTTTGAGTTGGGGTTCAGTTTTTTGGTTTTGCCTCATCCCCTTCCAGCTGCCATCTATTGCCCCCTAAGGATCTCTCAGGGAAAGTATTACTCCCTTGGGGACAATTCCCAGAGAAGAATTCCATTATCCACTCCAAACGAAAATTCAAGGTAACCCTTAGGCCCATCTTGTTCCTGTACTGTTATGTAGTAATAATTAGTACTGTATATATGCTATGCATTAGAAGCCTCGATAACAAAGAATTAGAAAGAATATATTTCTAAATCAGTGAAACTCCAGAAAATTCTCAGCACATGAGAGGTTTATTTTCCAAATTAAAAATGCTTTCTAATATGAGAAATAAAACTCTCATATGCTGAGAATGTTCTTGTATTTTATTGATACTTTATAATTTATTTGAAAACTTATTCTTTTAATTTAATTGCTACAAACAATCACATTTTTTCTTTTATTTGATCAATCAATTACAAAGAATTTGGTTTTTCTTCTTTATCTAATCCAGAAGTTCAATCTTAATTATGGTAACAGAAACAAAAAAGAAACTAAGAATAACTAGTGGTGATAAAACAGCACATACTTTCTCACCATAAGTAATTGTTGTATAATACAATTTATACCACAATCTCCCTCTCCGAATTATTATTATTATTAAATCTTATTCAATTTTTTCAATTAAGACTTGCACCATTTTCTAAAATGGCCTTCAGACTATTTACCCACCAACATTCATCAAGGAGCTATTGTAGAGAAAAAATTGTTTAATAAAAAAAAAATTGCCAATATTTCTCGCATCATTACATGAAAAGATCGCATCATTACGCGGATCCAGAATTGGGGGGGGAGGGGGGATTTGTGTGTATATATGTTTTATTCACATATAAAAGCACATAGATAATATTAATTATAAACAAGGTAAATTGTTTATCATAAAATGTTTTTAACAAAATTAATTTATTACATTTAATATTTGATGAATACTTTATGGTTTTCATTTACAAAATGATATAGTAATATATTATTAAAATCAACAATTCAAACCTGCAAAATTATGAAGGATTAGGGTGTTATATCTCTCATTCTATGATACAGAAGTGAACAGATGGGTTTAAATAAAAATGCATATCAATTTACTAACATTACTGTCCAGGACTGAAGAGTGTTGACAGGATTTAACAAAATATGTCTCGAGCCTTTTCTTACTCTTTTCTTTTTATTACATTTCTTTCTCTTTTCTTATTCGTTTCAGATATTTTCTTTCTTTCATAAGTACTTATTAATAGCACGATTTCCAGTTGCATGTAAGCGATTGATGCCTTATTCTTTTATTTCCGGCACACTAACATTGCGCAAAAGGTCACAGCGACCCTTGATCACTCACTTGGCACCCAGACCTTCTTGTGTCAACACTGTTTCCGGTTGTGTGGGCCACTCCAAAACGTGGAAGTCGCTGAAATCACCGCTTGACAAGCCAGTTAAGAAAGATATGAACTGTCACATGCATCTGGAGAACAGTCAAAGACATTTTCCACCAGGCTACAGCAAGAATCAGGATTCTCACTCTTGCCTAAAGGCTGAGGACAGAACGCGCAGTGATTTTTTTCGACACAGTTTAGACATTCCTACAATTTTTTCTTGTGTTTTTAATGTCTTCTCTGTTGAAACGCAAAGAGCAGGTGTAAGCTGCAATTCTGTGAATTGTTTCCAAAATGGTGATTTACTTCACCATTTCGTTCATGTTGGCTGAATGAAATTGTAAATAGTTTCAAATTCCACATTGCCTAAATATCTAAAAGTGGCCGAAACATTATAAAATATTGAAGTTAAAAAACAACAACAATTTTTTGTGATTCACGTTCCAAAATGAATGAAAGTAGGCTAAAACAAGTAAATTTCAAGATTGCAGTACAAATAATCATAATAGTAAATATGTCACATAGTATTCATCTGGACCATACTTACACTTTCTACTAATCTATAATTCAGGATAGAGAAATCATTAAAAAGAACCAAGTTTAATTTCACTTAGAAAAAGCTAGTGTATGCCATTTATAAATATTTGTATATGATGTTAGAATTATACAAAATTCATCAAGCATTCATATATCTGAAAGTTATTATGAAGAAAATTAGTTCATTTATATTCCCTTTATAAGTAGTGTTATATCATTCCAGCCTGAAGAATATGAAGAAAGTGATGAGGAAGTCTCACCAGAAGTAGCTGCAGCCATGATGCATTCAGAAGAGCAAGGAATATTGATGGGTGCTGCACCATTACGTGTGTATAACGCACTTTTTTCTGATGATGAAAAAGATCTCATAGCTGTCACATCAGCTGCACCTTTTCACCCTCAGGTTTGTTAAATAAAATAATTATAGAGCATTTAAATTTTTCCAGTTTCGCCCCTCTGATTGCTCTTGAACCTTCGTTGATTCATTTGACAGTGACACGCAAGTTCCCAAAGGATAAACGTTAATTCCAATTACTGGAATAAAACTTAATCAGAACCAAAGACTAATCACTAATCAGCTTATCTCAATATTTTTTTTCGAAGTAGAGATATTAGTATTATTACTACACTAGTTGTTAGTTAACATTAATATTAACCTCAAAACATTTGTTGCATTGAATATGCTTATTCAAAAGATTAGACATAAATTTTGTTAATTGTATGATAATAACTGAAAATATAATACTTTGCAGATAATGCAGAGTAGCTTGCTGCTAAGCTTTGTGCCCAGACGTAAGGTCAAATGTGACTCACACCTGCAGTCTCGAGATGTTAAGTTCAGGGAAGACTGAAAAACTGATATGATTCGATAGGGAAGAAAAACCCTGAGCATAGCATTAGCTGAGCTGAGCTCATGAACAAGGGCTGCAGAACGAGTTCGTGGCAATATTCCTACTCCCAACTGCTATCCTTCAGAAATTTTAATTAGCCAATAGGCATTATGAAAGGCATAGACGCTCAGTTCTTAGGGCAAAAATACATGTTAAAAGGCATGATAGAGAATTGACAAATTTTAAACAGCACTTGGATTTCACAGATCACCCTAATGCACTGCTGGGTTATGTCAAAAACTTAAATGACACCTTTAAAAAAGGTACATTAAAACACGTTGATAATATAAGAAATATATTTTATGCAATGAAACTATAAATCTAGCATATTTCTCCAGTAAAATCCCAAAATATGCAATTTTTAAGAAGCCTTATCCAAATGTGCAATTTTGTGCAGTAACCTCCCAAACGTGCAATTTCATGCAAAAGAAAACACATACTAAAATACAGTCCGTTTCATGACTCAAATTTCTGTCAAGGTTTTGTCCAATTTCTAGTTCAAACAAGAGAATCCGGTCTTTAATAATTAGTCTTCCAAGTGTTCCTGTTTTGACCTCTTTGATGGTCTGCCTCTATCTTGGTATAATAACTTGCTGAAGTAATCCCCATAATTCTCCTGTATTTATTGACCACAATCATATGTGAGGTGGGATAATTCCACCTGTTCCATTCCAAGCTTAGACAGCAAAGCCTCTCTCCCCATCTTGACAAGCACTGTTGTTGAGCCAACATTTAAAGCTCAATAGGTCTAGTTCCTCTGGAGCACTCTAAGGTTCAAAATTGCATTTATTGAGTTAAATATTTAATTAATTATTGAGTACTGGATATTTTAAATACTACTAAGACCTTCTCTTGGAACTAAAGATGATGAAAAATTGAATTCCTCTAAGTATTAAAATAATAAATTTAAATTGTTCATTTTGAAAAACAAGTTGAGATAAATAAATAAATGTTGTTATTGATGGCATGACTCAGGCCATTGAGTCTTCTCATCCACATGATTTAATACAAATCAAAAAGGTAATTTAAAAAAATTAATTTGCTTTTACGGGACAAGTCCTCCTTAAAAACACAATGTTACAAATGTCATAATTAACATAAATTTATCAGAGGAAAGATGGTATTTATGAGTGAGTTAACATCTTTCCTCTGTAGTTATATTGAAGATATTCACAAATATTTTCAAATAAAAAGCCCTGTGAAAAATTTTATTTCAGAACGTGGTAGTGCCAGCCTCTGTTGATAACCTACCTTACACTACCTCAGCTGAAGACCTTGTTGTACTAGCTTCTTCTATACGAGGAAAGGATCCTCTTCCTAGTAATTCTGTATTTGCTGACAACGTGAAAGAGCGAGGACTGTACAATTCAGTTATGGCTGAAGCAAGCAGTATGTAACTCATTTAATGCTTTTGTTGCATGTAATTCCAAAAATTTGTATGCTTGATCAAGAAAGAATTATGGGATAAGTACAACATTTTGTTGAATTATTCATATGCATGGGTTCATGAAGGGTTTTATTGTATCAGGAGATCAATGACCACGTTTTTCGAAGTTTAATTCCTTTTGTCTGTTGTAATGAGTGAAAATATTTTGTGGAGTGTTAGTGTGAGGGGGAGGGGTTAGTGTTAAAGTGTTACAAAGATTAGGGTGAGTGGCACTAAATCTGGATTGTTAATATTATGACCGGGTTCTGATTTCCTGAGTTTGAGCCACTTGAAACCTGTGAAGGGTTTGTCACCTACTGGTGTTAGAACCTTACATATACTTACAAAATATTGTTCCACAAATTAGTTACTCTACCTGGATGAAGATGCATTCAATTGGAGCATAGTATGTCCCAGACATTAAATCTCATTAGTAGTATCCACAGACATTTATTTTCTGACACTTCTCTCATGTAAAGATTGATAAAAAAAATTATTGGTCATACAAGCAATCAAAAAATAGTCCTGAACAGTTGTGAGTGTGGATGAGGGTTGGGGTTGTGGATGTGTGGGAGATGGAGCTAGAATTTCTTAATATCTATGGCAATTTCACCAATATTTCTTATGTAACATTACTTAATTAAATATAATGTTCACAGAGCCATATGTTTTTGAACCTACAAATGCAACTGGCTCTTCTGAGGATGAATCTAAGTCTTCCCTTCCCTCAAGTGGTGGAAGTATTGAATATGTACTAGATCCAGCTAGTCCTCCAGATCATTATTCTCGTGTGCAATTAAGAGGATCTACCAGCCCTGATTGGTTCCCAGGTATAATAACAAAATTTGATACAAACTAAGAGTTTTGAAAAATCAAAATCACAGAAACACTGTTTTAGAAAATCAAAATTACAGAAACTGCTATTTTTTCTTTTCTTAAAGATGTTACTTCATCAATGGACAAAAATGAAGCACCCATTTGATTATTTTTAGATCTTTCAAAAGTTTTCGCGTGCTCTATTGAAAATGAACAATATGCAATTCGCTGAAGTTAAGGTAACAAAATTTCTAGGTCTCTCAATTCAGTCAAACCTGAAATGGAATGTACATACAACAGAATTAAACACTAAATTAAGTTATTTATGTTACGCATTGAGAATTCTTCCAAATTCTGTCAGCCTTCATGCACCTCGTTGCCTGTATTTTGCTAATGTGCGTTCCCGCCTGAGATATGGTATAATATGGGGAAGTTCATCGTGTAGTACCCAAACCCTTAGATTGCAAAAGAAAATTATTCGAATAATAAAACAATTCCATCCGCGTGATCCCTGTAGGCCTCTCTTCTTTGAGCTTAGAATCACCATTGCCTTGCCTATTTATTTATGAATCTGTAATATTTGTCAAAACTGAATTGCTTAATGGTGAGAACATATTTTCATGCAAAACTGATATTTATGATTACAACACACGTCATAGAAATCACTTTCATCAAGCTCACTACCAGAAATCCACATACAATACATGCATGTTATTTTATAACACATTGCCAGATGACATTAAACATTTGAAGTCGGTACACAAATTTAAGTTAAAAGTAAAATCTTTTCTGCTGCAAAACTGCTTTTATGCAATTAGAGACTATACTAATCATCAAAAAGAAAATTAATGTTTATCGTTACAAAACAATGGTATATAATAAATTAGTTTACATTTGTGTTGTATAATTTTTTTAAAAAGTCTTCATATACCATCTCGATCAGGTTTTTCTCCAGTTTCTTTGACATATTGAGAAATGATGAGATGGCCTTGTGTTTTGCTTCTGTATGTAAATGTGGCTTCACTATGCACACGTTTTGTTGAACTCTCCTTTTGCTTGTAGTGGTAGGAGTAGAGTTAAGGGTGAGTTACAATTTTGTTAGCAATGCAGAAAATAAAATCTGCATGGTAAAATCTTTTACTCTTGCAAATAAGTTTTCTGTAACTCTGGAACAAAAATTAGTAATTTTAATAAATGTCACTAATCTTGCACTTTTTACAAATATTATTGTTATTAGTTAAAATGATGGGAAGGGATTCTCGAACTCAAGAAAACACGTATCTTCTCCCCATATGTCACATACAGT